CCCCAAAACCCCAAAACCCCAAAACCCCTCTAAGTAGGATAAATGCTAAAAAGGATAATAATAAATAATAATTAGAAAATCAGTCGGAATGGTGACCCTATCAGGGGATGAAAACATTGCCTGCGACCAAACATGCAAGAAGGCTTTATACTATTTTATTGGAAATGTTCACTACTACATATTTATCATAGGATTTATGGTGAGATTCTATAGACACAGGAACATTGGGAAATACAACCTTAAATCACCCAGACCAAACACTTATGTCCTAAAAATATTATTACAATGCATCCTAGCTCTCTAAACTTTTACAATGATTTATGACATCTCTCCATCAGATCATACATATGAGAACCTTGGTCTAGTCTACATTGTTTATGGACTAGTCTGGATGTTGAGTATCTACCTGTAGTTCTTTGAATATAAGAGAGGTTTACCTCATGCCTGGTATACTCATCAGAGTTTTTGGATTCTTGCGTTTATTAGTAATTTGACTCTTTTCCTTGTCCTCATTCTTGACTAGGAGAAGCTATTTGACTTTGGCAACCTTGAGTTTATGACTAGAGGCTAGAAAATAAAATCTATTGTGTGCTATATGATTGCTGTATTATGCTCTGCAGCTCTTTCATATTTAGGAGTCAGATACAAGAGGGAGTTCCCTTAATTTCTAAGAAACTATCTTCCTCCCTCTGATAAAAATGCTCCATATAATATATAATACGCTGATGCTAATGAAGCTCTCCTTGGAAATGATGTACCTAGAGCATCCTACAATCTTTCTGCGTCTATAAGCAGAATGCCTGGAATCAAAGCAACTGTATAGAGTTATGCAGTTGAACAAGGCACAGTTAATTTCAAAATTTTGATTTAAAAAGACAACGTTACCCAGAAAAAGCTTAAAAAGACATATAATGATTTTCTCGAGCTAGATTAGATTATTGAGACTAAGTATGCAAAATACATAAGAGAAGGCATAATGAATAAAATTGAACTTCCTAAAAGAGATCAATACAACTTTGATATTATTCAAAGTTTGGAGCAGTACAAGAATCAGCTGAAGGCTTATCTTGACTCATTGAGTAATGAGCCCAACACAAAGATCAATGAAGAGTAGAAGGATGATTAAACTGAAAGAACAAATGCCAATGAAAATCATCAGAACACATTAGGTTGCAATTACATACCAAAGGAATTGCTTATTTTCTATGACATTGATCTCAGACTAGTTGATCCAATTATGCTATACCAAGACTCTTTATTGAATCAATAGGCATTGTCTTAGGACATGAACGAGAGTAACCTCTATGGAAAAGATCTCGACTTCATAGTTAAGAAAACAGATGATATCAAATCTGATGTTCGAAATTTTCTGCTTAATGTTCTAAAAAGAGAAGAACTTTACAAAGTAAAAGTTGATTGTATTCAAAAGAATATGGCTTCTTCCTTTGATGAAACTCAAAACTTAGCCTAAACTGAAACTGAGAGCGTCATATTTACATTTCAGATAAATAACTGCTTTGTGTTCAACAAAACTTTGAGAGAAGTAGAGAAATTCTGCAAGGACATGATAGCTGATATTAAGAATCCGCTTATCTAGCCTATGAATGACTTGTTCAGTTTTTGCTACCTTCTAGAAGATGGCAATCATAATAACTCTAGAATTACAAGTTAAAACGCTGAGGGTCAAGCAAGAGTTTCAGGAAATCTAACAGGTCCTCAAAATACAAGTGGTAATGATACTAGTAGGCGCTACAGAATATTATATTAAGAACTGGAGTAAGCATGTTAATAACTAGAAGGCTACTTCAAACTTCTTTTGAATGACCCAGACTTTTACAATGACACCATATTCAAATTCTTTAACAGTCACTAACTCTTTGTCTTATTCCCCTTCGTGGCTATATTCAAAGAATAAAACAGACATCTAGTTTAACTTCAAAATTCTATTGTGTCTAAACCTAGATAGCATTAAGTTCAATAGTCTGAAGATACTTAATAATCAAACTTCTCTGCAAATCACAATGTTGGTTCTCACATGCAAATGGATGAAATAATTGAGGAAGATGAAGATGAATCCTCATCTCCATTTGTATTTACTCAGTAAAAATCAAGCAACCCATCACAAAGAATAACCGGCCCTTAAAGATATGCAAATGAACTTAAGCTTGTGGGTAAAAACCTAAGTATAATGGGATTTATCGGTCTATCAGTCACTTGCAAGGTTATAAAGCATCAAATTCAGATCTTTGGAACCCATCCAACAAATCTATTCACTATTTAAGTAACAAAGAAATTCCCTAAGCCATCTGATAGGTCCTAAATGGTTGAGGAATAGTGGAACATCAAGCTTGTAATTTCAAACGTGATATAGTTAGCCAATGACTTGAATATCAAATATATAAATCGAGACAGATAACTCCCATAGTTACTATTATCGCTAATGGAATATCAGAACTAGGTCAATAGCATTTACCAAAATGATTCCAAGCTTGAAGAGCTGGAGGACTATCTAAATCAGTTATTGTCCAAGGATACCGTTCTTTACAGTCCAGCTCTCAGATCTCTCTTCTAATTTGACAATTTGATTAATAAAAAGTTATTGAAGCAGGGCAGAAGTAGCAATACAGATCCCTTCAAAGATAAACATACCATGAATAACATGATGGGAGATGCACAGCATAAAAACTTAGCCGCTATGTTTGGGAAGTCTTCTTCGAGAAGATAGATTGATGAAGAGATAGGCATCATTGAGACTGATGGCTAGCTTGAAGACTATTTTGATGCAGACAAGGAGGATCCTTTTAGAATGAATGACAAAGATGACTAAACACCAAAAAACAACTCCTTCCTGGTAAGTGGTCTAATTACCAAGAATCAAAAGAACTAGAATCAAATATTCCAAGACTCTGATGAGGACGAGCTTGACAATATGAACAACTCAACTGGAATGTTCGCCAGGTCACCACCATAAAAGAAGAAGGAATCTGGGATGATTGGGAATTTCCCTCTGGCTAAGGATTACTTCAAGGAGATTGGAGAAGGAGATGTTTGAGTAGCTTGAGTAATTTGCTCTTAAGGTGAATTGCAAATAAAATATGTGAAGTTTGAATTATGATTCGAATATCATTCTTTGAGTGAGATCAACTTGTAAATATTTAGTTTTATTTATTCTCGCTCCATCAATAATAAGTCTGAGGACAATTTGATTTAAACCAATAAAATATACTTACATTTTCTATATTTAAATGTTAGTTTGTGGGGTTTTGGGGTTTTGGGGGTTTTGGGG